GTATAGAGTGCTCGCACCATCTCTTAAACTACTTTCCACTTTCTGACAATCATTGTGATTAAGTATTGCACCTCTCATTTTGATTTATTTCAAGATTCTTAAAGTTAAGATAAACACAATTCTCCCTCTTTGGATTGATCAAAAATAAATGTTCAGTTTTGATTTATTTGAAATGCTTTAAGGTTAAGATAGACATAAGCATACGCCTTTAACATTAGGATGGTTGTTCGCCGCTGAACCAATCTTCATTTTTGGTCCAAAAAAGAAATTTAATGCCGATTTGATGTTACTGTTAGTGTTCATCAGGGCAAACAATCAGCAAAGGGTAAACTACTTTAATATGTGTCAACACAGTTTAGTAAAGATAACTTGAATGGTTCCAGAGATATACCCCGGAATAAAAAAAATGTATACCATAAAAGGACCAATGGGCGGAAGTCAGTTCAATATCCTTCCCTGAAAATCGTTTAGCACGGGATATTAAGAGCAACCACATTTCAGGCAAACATTTCGAATGTTAGTACTCAAAATACCTTGTCTACCGAAGTAGGATACACTTATACTTACTTACTCTACATTCAGATAATTCGGCAGATTACCTTAAATCCTTTATCTCCGTATATACTCCATCTCGTACACTCCGATCTCAAAATACATGTAGCAACTTACACCTTTTTCTCAACCTTCCACATCTTATGCTAAACGATCTTTTTCCCATGTTCTTCTTTTCTGTGGAATACCTTAACCTCTCAATATAAAATTATCTGCTAGTATTGAAAGTTTCAAACGCAATTTAAAACACACCTTTTTGTTGACTATTATGTATCTTAGTTCATTTATAGGTGCTGTTCTATTTTATCCTTCCTTACTTTTAGCTATTTTAATCTTTTTTTTATTACATATCATATCTTATTATATTCTTTACTACCATATTTGCATTGCTATCGTATTGTATGCCATTTCAATTTCTTTTATGCTTCATTAAATACTTTTAAATCTGACGGGGCTGATCCTTTTAAATCTCTGCCCGATATTCTAGAGAGTTGTTTATTGGCTTGACAATAAATGTCTAAGTAATAATTCATATAACTCCATATTTTCTATAATGTTCGAAATTAAAAACACGAATTGGAATTCAATATTTGGTCCATTATCTTGCCGTGAAAATATGGCATCCTAATATCCACAGTGGTTTCGGATGCCTTTTGTAACGAACAAAAAAAACAAGACAGTGCTGATTCACAAATGACAATAATAATAAAAAAAACGCCTGCCGTTCAGTTTGGACTGTTACCTTGGAAATTACAGTTATCATTTTTAAAAATTGAATATAAATCAACTTATATACATCCGTATTACATTATTGTGTGCTTTTAGACCTATAATTCGACTAATTTAAGGTTCCAAAGGATAGAGCTATACGCCCTTTAAATCCACGAAGTACAGTGTATATAAAACGAGTATGTCCATAGTTTTACTATCCAATGCCCTTAATAGAAAATAAATTGAAAACAGTGTTATGAAGCAAAATGTGTTCAAGTAACACCTTCTATATATTGGCGAACTGTTCAGTGCTTGTTTTAGTTAAAGGTACATGTGTCATCAGAATTTGACGACCTTAATATAAAAGATATAGATGGTTGTTTGTGGCTGGGTTCGCTACATGAAACCAAACTCCTAAAAGAACTTCATAATAACTAGGTTTTTTTACAAGGTATTTGTAGCGCTATTCACCTAGCGCAGTACTCGCTTTCTAGAAATAAATGCCTTTCATCTCAGACTTTCCAAGAAATAGGGAAATATTGGTATTTTGAGGCATACAAAAGTGTCAAAAATGGACCATTTTGAAGAAAAAGGTCAAAGAAAGTCAATTTTTGAAAAATATTCCAATAATTTGAATATTTTTTATGTGAATTGTTTGAAACTCTTTAAATCTTTTAGCAGAACTCACATTTTGACAAAATTAAGAAAGAATCTTCAATTCTATACAAAAGGCCCATGTACCTGAGCTGCAATCTGGTATACAAAACAGTATATAACTTTAAAGGTTCACCGTTTTTGCAGTAATTACTTTTTTGTGATTCTGTATTATAATAATGTTGCAAAAATAAATGTGAAGCTATAAAGAAAAGAATTTTGATGATATAAACTTATAAACTTATAGGAGGCAGACCACCATTAAATTACACCATCTCGGTACCCTACAAATTGTAGTTCGTCTATTTATAGCAGTTCTCTCTCTGTCTCTTTTCTCCCCTTTTGCATGTCCACTTTTGTTGATTTTTTCGTCTAGAATGGATGAAGAGGGTTTGAATTAAAATTTTCTGCCAGGTTTTGGTAAATATTCATGATTTTGAGGCGGAAGGATAACGGGGTTATCAGGTTGGCTACGGTGATATGTACGGCAACTAGTTACATGTTTTTAGTATGCTTCTCATACAAATTTTAGTGCAAAGACATGACCATTTGTTCCTCTGTCCGTAGTGAAAAGAATTCAGCCCAACGAAAATTTGGGAAAAAGTTGGAGGTGGGCAAAGAGGCCAGAATTAACATTGAAGTCAATGGGGAAATTAATGATAAAGCGCACTCAACAAAATTACGTCATCGGTGGAATTTCTAAACATAAGTCTAATCCGAAGGAAGTCCAAAATATAATAAATGGTCTATTGAAAAATAGTGATGATACAAATATTCTTCCCAAACACTCGAATAATGCTACACTTGCCGAATCTTTTTCGTGTTATTTCTCAGACAAGATAAATAAAATACCGAAGGATTTACAATCAAACATATGATATTGTTGAAAAATGCAGCCCCAACTGCCCTTCATTGTCCAAATTTGAAATGGTAACAACATGTGAAATCGAAAAAGTAGTATTGTCTAGTTCATCTGCATCCTGTGCACTAGATCCACTACCAACCCGACTTGTTTAACAGTGTATTGATGAATAATGTTCAGTTTTGGCCCATATTATTAACACGTCTCGCAAAACCGGATGTTTTCCTGACAACCTAAAATCAGCTTTAGTTTTTCCCTTGATCAAGAAGTGTATCCTCACATAACATTTATAACAACCTCTCGGTTGAGGTATCAAGTTGGAAATATCGGAGCGTATTAACCAAATAATATCTAGGTGATTAGAGTAACTTTTGTAGATTTCCGATTGTAGCAGTGATAATATAAATTATCAGTATAATCTACACCTTTCACATATTGTGAATAAAACACCTTAAAGGCACAAAAACTAGATCGTTGACATATATCTCAAAACAAATATGTACCATTTTAATGTAAACAGTTTTGTTAATATGTGATTCTACACATCGGAGTATAAATATAGACTGGTATGGAAAATGGCAGAATAACGGTGTTTTTGTACGATAAGTAAATAACTCCGATTACATAATAAATATATGTTGTTTAAACACTGCTCGAACATGTTATAATAAGCAATACTAGACACCTGATGACACCTCATAATCAGAGGGGTTTTACATAGGCTAAGCCTGTTCCCCAATCCCATTCTTAAAACCTGAATAAAAATATTGTTTAAAAGGGGCTTTCTGTGTAGGATGAAGCGAGTACTCTGTGGATAACTCCCACCACCCAATATCACACAAAGTAGAGTATACTTCTGGGATATTGTCAATAATCAATGTGAATTTCATCATTAAATACTGGGCTAGATGAATACCATTACAAATTCCTTGTAAAAAAAACCAGTAAAAAAAACTAGTTATTATGAGGTTCTTTCGTCAGTTTGGTTTCATGTAGCGAACCCTGCCACAAACAACCGTCTATATCTTTTATATTAACGTCGTCAAATTCTGATGCCACATGCACCTTTAACTAAATCCAGCACTGAGCAGTTCGTCAATAGAAGATGTTACTTGAACACTTTTTGCTTCATCACACTGTTTTCAGTTTATTTACTATTCAAGGCAGTGGATAGTACATTGTAAAAATATGGTCTTGCTCGTTTTATATCCACTGCACTTCGTGGATTTAAAGGGCGTATAACTCTATTCTTTGGAACCTTAGATTAGACGAATAAAAGCACACATTAATGTTATACGAATTTATATAAAGTGATTTATATTCAATTTTCAAGGTTTAGCTGCTTTATTATGTAAGAGCTAAATCTGCCTATGGCAGGTCTTTGTTTTGCTTCAAACGTTATATTAATTATTATTTAGACATTTATAAAAACATGTTAAGCCCATAATCAACTTTCTGGATCATCGGGTAGAGATTTAAACGGATCAGCCCCTCCTCCCCACGAGATTTAAAAGTTTAATGATATAATGAATAATCGATACTTAGTATCGTTTGTCAAGTACTGTTGCTACATATAAACAACAATCTCCGCTACATATTCCAACACTTATAACTTCGCTCACAATAAAGTAATATGAATAAAATTTTCAGTATATTCATTTTTCATTATCTATTTTTGAACAATAATAGCAAGAACGACCAGCCCTTTATCTAAATCTTACATAATGCATCTTTAAGATTATATGCATATGTTTATGTAAAATAAGGAGATTATGATCCTCTATTTATACAATTTCATGGCTATATACCCATTATGTAGATATTTGCGGTCATTGTTTTACATATCCTATCCTTTTTTCGTTTGTATAAAAAATCTCTGTTTAAAGATCTACATACGTGATATAGCTTAAGTAATATAACTTAACTAATATAATATAAATAAAACACGCATAAAACGTTTGATATTACAGCCGTCCCTGGACGACTGTGTTATTGCAATGATTATGTATGTCAGTGTAACTAAGGTCGGATCGAAGGGAGTGTAGCAATGTCGAATTGCTTGAAAACCACAATAAATTGTACCATTCGTCCCTTGAAAGCTAAAATGTGTATATCGCCCCGATATCACGTGTATGTCACATACAGATAGATCGGGACTAAAATTAAAGCTCAGAAATATTAAAAATTCAAAACACCTTGTCAACTCGGGTAAGATATCGCCTTAAATCCTCGAGACGTTTCTGGTAGGCAATAGGGGGGTCAAGGTATGAAATCTAGGATACATACGTGTATTTGTATATTGTTTGCTTAGGCTTTGATAGATCACTAATAGACTGCCATATTTGTGTCCAGTTGAACTAATCTTACCCCTAGCTTCAGTATTAGCGAGTACATGGCGGATAAAACAGAAAAAAAAGGTAGGGGAATAATAATTACCATATTAGATAGTAGTGATAGTATAAGCATATAACAATATTTAGTTCAGTTCTGTATTGGGTAGTATTGCAGCGTAAATCAAGAAGGATGATAAAATTATTAGCCGGAAAGATACAAGGGTGCAGATAATACCCTTTCAGACACAAAATTTGACGGTTACAATCAGTAATCGGGGATTTGTAACGTCGCTAGTAGAGTAGCATTTAAATAATTTGGACGTATTGAGCGGTATTCACGACATAATTTAACTCTTACACTAGTAATACATTATGTAAATATGCTAGTCTCAATGCATGTAACTTGTTACTTATGCTAGGTTCCACTGTCTTGCGATGCGTTACGAATGCGACGATTGGCCATTCTTCTTAGCTGATTGTGGCGTTTTTATTTACTTCTCTGAAATGTCACGTTTGGATACGAGGTGATGTGAGTCGATGCCTTCTGGTACAATTTGGTGCGCTTGGTCACGACTGGTCAATTTCAGGTGACACGATCTGGTCTACCGTTCAGATGCAATCAGATACATTCCGATAGGATTGTCCTTACGATCACCAAGAACCGATGTGCTCTTTTGCGTTAGGGTACGGTTGTGGTCGTGATGTTTTCACGATCCGGATTGGGATTGATCACAATTTCAGCTACGATTGTGCCTTGGCGGGTATATATACAGCCCGACTGATTATGGACGTCATTGTTTCCTATACTTCTGCAGAGATCGCAGAGCATCTTAACCGAACGTGGTGTTTGTATTGTCCAATGCTGATCCTGATCACCACGATTACATGCGATCTGTCGCGCTTTGTTACACTCGCATACGATCTGCAGGGATGATTACGATTGACAATTAATCGTGTTGATTGATGAAAATTTTTGAAATCGTTCAAAACTTTTCTACGATCAACAAAGTTGCTAAGGCTGACCTCAAGATACGAATCGTGATCGTGTGAACTGGCTATTTACACATGCAAATCTGCTATTTTAATAGACTTATTTCTTAAATATAGTAGTTTGAATTTGTATTTTGTTCTGTTTCCATTCTTACTTTTAATCTACGTGATATGTTTGATATTAAAGCAGATTAAAGTCTGATATGTTTGATATTAAAGCAGATTAAAGTCTGTTTATTTTCTTAAGACTATATAAGTAAATTTAACAGTTTTACATAGCCAATTTAACATTATGTAAGCAAGAAATTATGGGCATTGAAATTAGCATACTTCCGCATATCAAAGAGGACGCCAACAGATCGTATGATATTTTACATAAGTTCAGTGTACCATAAGGGTAATTTTGCCAGGAGAGCGAAGTTTCTGCCCACTCTTCGTCGAATTCATTGCAACTGACAATGATTCTTTTAAGTACACACTGACCGCTGTACACCTATAAGAACATAAGGTTGGTGGGGAATGCAATATGTTAGTTTTACATTATAAAGTTTAACAGGTAAATTAATTATTTTAATGGATTGAAACAAGTGTTTGAAAACATGTTCATGATTCAATGCTCGAATAATCTCTGTGTTTGACTATAAGTGAATGATGAAAGCATCAAACAACATGACATCTTATTATGTACTTCTGTCCTATATAAGCCAGCTTGAAAATCTTTAATACAAACTCATGCAGATATCAATCTTTTTTTTTAGTTTATGGCTAACAATGGTTGTCAAGTAGATTAAAATTAAGTATTGTTGATAAGTAATGTAAAAATTGTGTCCATTTTGTATTGTTCAATAATTTAATTGCGATTGCCTTCTTAATATCTAATGAAGAATGGTGTACGTCATGCAGTGTGGTATTAGTGAAATTCCAATTGGTAGGGGTTCTTTTACGTGCACGCCGATGTAAAATGTTAATACAGGGCCTCGGTGTTTCTCCCATTCGAATTGCTAAACGCCGTTCTTGCCTGGTCATTCATCCTGCACCACCGACAAGTGAAAACCACGCTCGAACTGGACGAAAAACGGAGGTCCCGTGTCACGTTGACGTACACATGAAAGAACTCTGACAGTTGGAATTCGAAGCCTAGGTGAAAACGCCACTACCCGGGAACAATTTCACTTAGAACACTGCATGGCGTACGCCCTTCGTCATTGGTCCTCTTGGTGAAAAAAATAGGAGAATTCGAGGTCGCGTGTACACCTTGCAACCCTTGACAGTTGGAATTTGACGAATGTAGGCGGAGCCCAACTGTCTGGACACTGAATTAGTCCCGTTGGTACAGAAAAGTAGGACATGATCCTCCATTCCATTTGCAATTGATTCGCAAGTGTGCACAAGTTAAACCGATTCATGATTCAGTGTATTTCACCCACTTGAATTAAATTACACGTATGAGCCAAGAAGCAGGCTAAAAGTCTTGGCTATGTCCCCAGTTCATACGGAAAATACATCTTCAAATGAGAGCTATTTCAATAATACTCTCTAATCTTAATACATAATATGCTTGCCAGAGTGTTGTAAGAGCATTATTAACATCGCATATGGACTATGCAAATTCACTTCTATTAGGAGCACCAGAAACTGCTTTAAACAGACTACAAATAGCGCACACAATGTTGCACGTCGCATAACTAGAACACGAAAATTTGATCATATATCAGCTAAGTTACAGAAACTCCTCTGGCTTCCAGTTCAAGCGATGGTTCAATTTAAAGCTCTTTAAGTGATCGTAGCATATTGAAGATTCCTAAATTATAATAAAGGTTCTGTTGAATATGCTTTCTCTTTCAGAGCAGGTAAAATGTGGAATAATCTTCCAAAAACTCCCCGAGATTCCTCTTCTACCCAGAGCTTTAAGGCTAACTTAAAGATGGGTTCCCAGAAAAGTATTTATCGGGTGGTTATTTCCAAGAAAAGTATGGTAATTTTGGTATATATGGAAAGTAGAGATATCCAATCTTACTAGAAAAATACTGGATTTCCCGAAAAACACTCATGGAGCGTATACAGGACGAAAATGTAAGGGTTCCCCTAATCAACAGCCCGACGATTAGGAATTTCTGCACGCGTGATGTCAAAGGTCACACGCGAACATTGAGCGCTTGATGTACAAGTTGATAAACTTTATGAAGAGTTAGACGTACAACACTTTCTGAGATAAAATGACGGAAAAAGGCGCGGGTAGTGGATAATCCGAGAATTTAATTAGGATTCGATATTTGTAATAAATAGTAAGCGATTAAAGACAACATCGTCTTATGTATGCAATGAATTTTCTGACTTCCAAGAGAGGTAAGTCACGTGACGTAAACATGACCTGGTTTGATCGAATTTTTATAGCAGGACATTCCTTCGCAATTACAATGTTTGAGAAGGATTTGAAGCAAAGTTATGACAAATTAATTAGTTTGAATATGTTTTTAGTCCATACATACCATTAAATCACCCAGTTTGTACGCGGGAACCCATCTTTAAAAATATAATTATTCTAAAAATGTTTATGAACTGTTTCGTTGTGAATGCGCTTAGAAACACTCATGTGTAATGAAGCGCTCTATAAATCGAACGATAATAATAATAGTTTGGTTTACCTTGTACGTACACTTTTATTTTGATTCTATAAACTGTCTTTCTCGTTATTGTACCACTGCGAACACTCATCGGTCTAGCACGGTATCCGAATAAAGGCTATTCCGGTTTTATGTTGAGTACAGAGCTTCCATTTCACCATCACCAAGTTCCATCGAGTTGTATAGTAGTTCAATGTACGTGAATCTTATATGAGTTTTGTGAAATGAGACCGTGATGATTTACGACTGAACATGTTTGTATTCTTAATCCCTCCGAGAAATTCAGTAGCCTACTACCCAGTCACTCTCTAGTCATGTCCCATTTGCAAATCATTTATATGCTCTTTAATGTTTAGCTCCTCGAGACAAGAATTAAATTTGACACGTTTGTTAACTTGTTATCTCAATTTCTGGTGAAATTTTAACTCGCGTGTTGAGATGTGTCTTTCCTGGTCATAACGTCTTCACAACATCAACACCATCTGCGCATATTACTAACAGTCTGATTGGTTAATATTTTGGAACGTCATGTGAGAATAGCTGAATTTGTTTTTCATGGCATCGCAACACACGGGCACAAATACTGATACAATAGCAATCCTTAAAACGCACGGGAAAATTTTGGAAGTTTGCAATACAAGTAACCGCTAGAATATCGCATAGAGCTTATTTTTTTGTTGGGTTTTTGTGTGAAATCTACCATACCGATTAAACGTCTCACTGGATAACGAAATAACGAAAAGGGTAGAGATTACAGTAAACTCGAGCTCGAAATATATCACAGTTTGCTGTAAGAAAAACATACGGATGCAATGATTCCATATCCGATTGGTTCGTTACGTCCGAATGGATCATAGGAAAAATGCATTAGTTAGTGTCGATTGCGTATCTGTTTTCATAAGAAACCCATTCTGTAATTTTTAACTGCATTTATTTTAAAACTACAGTCCTGTATACCCATGTCTGCCCCATTACTTACAAAATGAGAGCATCGCTAACACTGCGATACACGTCCACATTCCTGCTTTGATTGATATGGTACTTTTTAAAATGAAGAGAATGAAATAGGAAATATTGGGCTTGGCTCTGCCCCTGGGGGTAGGGGCATTCACCAAAATTAATAGTTGACGCCCTTAGGCTATACGGAATTCATGTGCCAAGTACCAAGCTGATCCATTCAGAATTGCGGCCTGTAAACGACAAACACAAAAATTGTGCGTGGCTCTGCCCCTGGGGGTCGGGACATGCAGTTGTCGTCCTTAGGCTATAAGGAATACATATCCTAAGTTCAAAAACGATCCATTAAGAATCGTGACCTACAGACACAAAGAAAAAATGAGTATGGCTCTGCCCCTGGGGGTTCGGCAATCACCAAAAATAGGGGTCATCCTTAGGGTATAAGGAATAGGTATTGAAAGTTTCAAAAGGATCTGTTAAGAATTGCAGTCTGTAGGTGTTGGGCAGCACCAAAAATAATAGAGGTTAGCCTTAGGGTATATCTATAAGGAATAAGTATAAAAGTTTTCAAGACGATCGTTTAAGAATTGTGGGCTGTAGGCGACACACAGACACACAAAAAGAACATGCGCGTGGCACTGTCCCTGGAGGTTGGGCATGCACCCCAAACGATAGGGATGTTCCTTAGGGTACAACGAATAAGTATGCAAAGTTTCAAGATGATACGTTAAGAAATGCGGCCCGCAGACGACAAATAAATGGATGTGGCTTTGCCCCTGGGGGTTGGGCATGCACCAAAAACAATAGGAATCATCCTTAGGGTATAATGAATACGTATGTAAAGAAGTTTAAACAAAATCCAGTAAGAATTGCGCCATGTGGGCGACCCACAGACACACACACACACACACACACACACACACACAGGGGCAACGGCATAACACGTCCATATACATTATGAATGTGGACGTACTGTATAACAAAAAGTATATGGTACCATGCCAGACGGGGACATATCCATATGTGGTGTCTTTCATGGCAAATCTCCGCTTTGCAAATTTTAGTGTAGGAATATATATTTATATGTTTGTACGGTTTTAAAATGGTCAATGTTTTAAAGTTGCAATTTCATATTTTTACGTTATTTTTTTTAAATTTATTAAAATAAAGCCTTAAAATAGCTGGTATCTATAAACAATCCTACCTTGTTAAAGAATAATCCTATTAATCCTATAATTCACTATTGCCAGCCAGTTGAGAAATTGGCAAAAATATCACTTTCCTCTTCAAATTCAAACGTTTGAGGATAGCTACTCCATGGTGGAGAATAGCAAACAAGGGAGGTAATTGTGTTATTATTTCCGGTGTAAATGAGTTTTAAGTGTGAGAATGACACCTATGATCGTATAATAGTGAGTTGACAACCTATTGAGCAAAAGACATAGAAATAATTATGTTTTGATTTTCTTAGAAAATATGAAATTGTAACTTTAAGGTTAAGACTGAGTGGGTAAGACGCTGATTCGCTAGCCTGGAGGTCGTGTGTTCGATCCCTGCATTGGCCGAGAAAGTTCGTCCAGATATTCCGACGTGAAGATATACTACTCTCACTATTTACTTAAATATTTATCTTCGCAAGCATCTGCCAATTTAATTGTATTTCAATCCTCATAGCCTAAGCAGAAAATGATGGAACTTGATCACAGTAATAAAATCATAAAAGTCAATAACGTTTTCAATTAAGAGTTTACAATCTTCTGCTTTGTTCTATCTTTGATGTAGCTAACGGTTACAACGAAATGGAAACTGCTGCCGGGAAACCGCCGCCAACTGATCCCACAGTGAATGGCAGCAAATCCCCTTCGATTATAATCGAGACAGCAAATATGGAGTTGAAGAAGAACTTGGGACTTACTAGTGCTATATCCATGATTGTTGGGACAATAATAGGTATGCCGAAATATCACCACAATATATAATATTTATTGTGTGCATGTACTGTCTAGATATAGATTATGCCTGTTCCCCGAATAAAATACTTTTTTGAAAAATATTTACGCAAGTACCACCCTTATTGAAGACTTTTCAAAAATTCCCGAAAGTTTTTCTCTGCCCATGAAGATTATATGAACCCGGTACCTTCTTATCGAGAATCGATTACTAAGACCCCCAGTATAATACTTAGGTAATCTTATTTCATTAAAATTTATATAGGATCGGGAATCTTTGTTTCACCAAAAGGCGTGCTGGAATCAACGGGGTCTGTTGGACTCAGTTTGTTGGTATGGGCTGGATCTGGATTGATAGCCATGATGGGTAAGCGTTCTTCCACATACATTTCCCATAATCATTATCCAAACCAATCAATTGCTGGTTTCATAATGTCAATTTGAAAGCAATATGAAATCAGATGAAATAGGGTTTTAAGTCCAACTGTTATGCACCGACTGGGATAATGAAGAAGGGGATAAATTTGCTATCCATATGGATGACAACTCGTAATCGTTTCCCCTGATTGCATTATAGTTCGTATAATTAGAACACCCCCTCCCCCACCTTCCTCATGACAACTTTTGTCTTCAAGAATTAAAGAAGAGAAGGCTGTTTCAATTTGCATTCCTGTCTGGTTTTCATGATTTAGATACGAACGATTCAGGATGTAAGCAAATGTCACCAAAGCGCTGCGACATTGGCACGATTCCTGTTTATTTATTTGTTTTAAAGTAACTGTATTAGATATTAACAGTTATGCATCAAGCCACTAATATTTTTCGACTGTGGCAAGTCATTAATAATTACTATTAACTATTGCAGGTGGTCTGTGCTATGCAGAGCTCGGGACCTTGCTTCCAAAATCTGGAGGAGAATACATCTATTTAAAGGCAGGTCTGGGTGACATTCCTGCTTTTCTTTTTGCTTGGACCTCGATTCTCGTCACCAGGACGTCATCGTTAGCCATCATAACGCTAACCTTTGCTACGTATGCTGGATCTTTCTTTCAGCTTTGCGGGGGACCACAGTTACCAGAAAAATTAATTTCTGCAATAACCATTAGTAAGAACATTTTTAAAAACGCGTACTTCCATTAGCTTTGTAGTTTTGTCTTTACCCTTGAAGGATTAGCATAGTATAACTGTTAATGGCTAGGTGAATATATTTAGAGAAATCCTCATCGAAGTTCGTTCTCAAAATGTCAAACTCTGTCTTCCAAGACACATTATAACAGCCTTGTGAGGGGGTGCAAAAACGTCACGGTATTCAACGAAACTAGGCTCCATTTTATAAACATTGACGGGCAATTATTTATGGGTGGCTTTGATTTTCGTAAAGGTTCCCTAATGATCAGATAAACATTCTCCACTAGGATTTTTTAATCGAAAGTGTGACTTCGAATTTCGATTGATTTATCTTTAAGAGTAGCCCAACTATCCTAAAACGTTTGAACAATAATTAATATAAATATAATATGTAGAGCGTTTACAAAGTTTCGTCGACAAGTGTTATACCTCACCGTGAAATCTATACAGGGTACCACCTTATCATTGTGGGTTTTTTTTTAAATTATCTCAAAAACTGCAACCACAAAAGGCTTTCTGTGTAAGGGTACATGTAAATCGAATAGATGCACGACTCTGATCTGGGATAGGCCTACAAGAACAATCCTAGAAAATTTTTAAAACATCGGTAGGGCATTTACAAGAGTGCGAAATGGCGGTCAAACAGAAGTGACGGCAGTATACTCCCACTCTCCCAAGATATTTTTGACATTATAACCGAATAGATTATGATTATGTAAGATAACGGATTTAATCGTATTTTTTAATGTTGTCATGTTTAGTTCTAATCGGTATAGTGAACAGTTGGAGCACAACATTAGCTGCAAGGGTACAGGTTATTTTTACATTCGCCAAAGTTGCAGCTCTAGTGGTCATCATCGTAGGTGGATTTGTGAAACTTGGTCAAGGTATGGTTGAAAGATATTTTTAAAATTTCAGTATGCATATCTTAATATTCCTTTTCTACATATTAATACATGCCAGTTTATGGATTTTCCTATCGATTTAACCAAACAAGAAGAAGACAACGAATGAGGAGCATCCCTTTAGAATGCATTTTGCTTTGTGACTACAGATATAAAACTAATGATTCCCATATTAACCATTAATTTAGGATGTCGCAAATCTTTAATTATGTTAAAGCTTACTACATGATATGTTCTTCATATTTTATGTACTTCAAGGTAATACATCAGTGATATCTAGCGGTTTTGAAGGAACAACAGATTCTCCATTTATTATAGCATTAGCATTTTATGATGCACTGTGGGCTTACGACGGATGGTGAGCATATTATATACCCCTTTGAATAACAAACAAACTAGCTTAAAACTCGACAGAAGCAAAGAGACGTATATCATTAAATTAAGCAATGTTGTTATTAATCCAAATTAAACCCCATTTCATTTTATTTCATTTATTAATTCAAAGAAAGAATTCCATCTTTGCATCTTACAAGCACCCCCCCCCCCCCACAACATGTATCACCCGTAGCGCCCGCCTGTACAGGTTAGAGATGTTTTTTATATTATATAATAAAAAATTTAATAATTTAAATAGTCACGGAAAGGAACAAAGTCATAGTTTCTGGGATTTTTTTAAAACTTGCTGGGTTATTGTTTTGAGTGGCTATTAATATGTACTATATTGAAAACTAAACATGCAGACATGTCATTAAGAAGAATCCTGTCGATTAAGAAGAATCAAGTTATTTCCCTTGTTACAGAACCTCTGTAATTGCTCTGTAGGTCAAACGTTTTTTGAAATATTTGATATACACTAAAAAATCAGAAGATGTAACCATACTGAAATTCAGATTCGTGCATAATTTTGAAGGGTTATCTCCCCTGTCACAGATCAGGTTTGGAGATTGTTGTTTTTAAAACTGTCTCAGGCAAGTTGACCTATTAAACTTTTGGTTTGTGCTCCAGATATAAGCAGTGGAATTACCGCCGTCACCGAAAACTGGTAAATACGATACAAAACTATTTTAGATGTAGTATCTGTGTTATGATTGTTCGATTAATCAAAATCGTATTGAAATTTCTGGCCTGTTGAGTTACACCTTGATTCGTTTCAAACTGATAACTGTGCTTTTTTTTTAAATTAAGATAAAAAGAATTGGCGGATTTAGGATTTTAATACCCAATAGCTAAACAATTCAAATTATGAATCACATTATAATTTAGTGACATGATTACCATTTGACAAAACTGATTATGTTATTCTTTTGGCTAAGATCTTTTTAAAATGCTTTTCATTTCAGGAATAATCTCAATTCAGTAACAGAAGAATTACAAAATCCGCCCAAGTGAGTGTTTACATGTATATATCCCTTCTCGGGGTGGTAACCTTGCCCGTCCACAATGTCTTTTCGCCAGACTGGACTGTAGGCTTGTAAAATGTTGAATAATGCTATGCTCAAAAACCCGACCTGCTACTCAATTTCTAGTTTAAGTCTGACTGTGAATATAATTTTTGTTGTGGATTTGCACAACTTTTTCTATAACCAAACAGGAAGTTCCCTTAACAATCTTGAAACATCAGATATGTAGGCTGCAGTCTTTATTAATTATACTTCTGCATCAATTTGTAACCGTAGGGACAAATACAATGTGGTTGTCTGTCAGCCCGTTAGACATTTTGGCACATCATTACCCTGCTTGTATTCGAGGCGAAGTGTCTATACTTATGTTCAGTATTTGAGTATCTTGACCGAATGTGGGGCTAAGCAGAGATAAGCACAAGATTGACCTAGACTTATAACCAATAACTCTACTTCCATGAGTTACAATTGCCAAGCGTGGTTTCATTTTAAACGTGGTGTACATGATCATGAGGTAACTATCTTAACGGAGGGTGATGATTACCATTGTCTGCTTAGATGTAGCAGACATAAACAATTTGATATGTCATTGCATGGTTCTAACTAGGTGAGAGTGTTGAATCTTACTGTATAGTTTCATAACATCAATACTTTGACTAAGTTTGATAATGAGCCTTTTCTATGCAGGTTAAGCGGAGAAAAGCAATTTGATTTACCGTGACTTTGAAACAGGATAACTTTTATTCTAATAAAGTGCAAGTGAAGAGGTTATGTTAAAGAGTTCGATGTTAAACAAGTTTTGGTTGGGTTAAGGAGAGATGGGCAATTTTATTTTCCGATGATTTAGAACACGTTCACTCTTTGGAGCGTAAGGGAGAGTGATGAATCTTGGTGGATAGATTCTATACATCTATACCTTGACTGTGCGATAATCGACATTTTCTTCTCAGACTAAGTTGCGTGGTAAAGAATTTGATCGATTGATGCTTTATAAAAAGATCAAATCTGCGAGTGTCGCCTATTTATGTTCATATTGAGACCTCACTATTGGCTCGTCTTACCAGTCCCATCCATTAAAGGGTCATTAGGTAAGATTAAATAAAGACATGCCAGTTCTCTCTATAATAGGTAAGGAATAGACAATGAAAAGAGAATATGCTGAAAATTTAAGTCAGATTGCTTCGCCTAGATATTAGCGAATCAATTTTAGGCTAGCCTCGATCGTCATTACTGCCGTTGTTGAGATGATTAACAAAGTCTCCGAGTATCTATTTTTACGGTTATTTTGTGCACAACAAAATGTATTCAGATCCACTAAATATCACAGGCAACGATTACATCGACGGTTGATTATGATCTTAAAAAGTCAATTTTAGATAACATTTAAGGCCTAAAGAAAGACCTCCACTAGTCAGATTTAGCTCTTGCGTATGCATGTTTAACTGACCAAAATAATGTTGTTTTGGACTCTATTGAACCCCTCCGCTTTTTAATATCAATTTAAGTAATGTATTCAGATATTAACGTCTTGTGGTTTGTAAATAATTTCTAGAAAACTGAATACGCCAGCCAAAAAGATTCATTTGCTTCATTTGTCAACGCAAGTATTTGATATATTTCTCTATCAGCAGCTCAAAGAAGCTCTTTTTGTATAAATCAAATAATACCGCTTGATAACCGGTTGAAATATGGCCTTGTATATTTCAGGAATTTACCACGAGCTAATGTTGGCAGTGTTATTCTTGTTATCATTGTGTATTTATTAACAAATATATCATACCTAACGGTGATGACAGTTGACGAACTTCTTGATTCCCCAGCCGTTGCAGTGGTAGGTTAATATGTAAATGTTAGAAACGACAAAAAGAGATGTGTGCATGCTATTTATCTTGTATTGTCGAGTAGGTAGTCATTATAATTCGCTGCAACCTGATGTTAACGTCCCGATTGTTCCCGCCTTCTGTTTCCCATTAAGTACGTGCATAAAGGACCTTGGTATTATTTCCTTCAATGGTTGCTACACCAAAGGTTACCAGATTTCATTTCACTGCCGTAACTGCTATATTTAATGATAAGCATGCTTTGTGCTGGGACAGGAGAGACTTACGGTTGAAAAATACCAAATGTTTTTGTTTTGGCCAAGACTGCTACACGAAAAGGTGGCATTCACGTCCAAGGAGGGAGTACAGACTATAGGCGGTATCTAATGCAAATTTTGTGCAGTTGAAGAATTCGAAAATTGCGAGAGAACATGGAATTACGAATGTCTTTCAGATCGAGCGACTTAAGTTATGCTTATATTTCACAATTCAATTCTTAAAGTATTTTATCGATTTTGTGCCAAGGCTTTGATTGGAGAATAATTTTACCATAGCAATATATTCAGTTTATTGTTCCAGTTTGACCTTAATTGCTTGTCTTGTTACAGACATGGGGTGCGCGAGTTCTTGGTGCAGCAAAGGTTATCATGCCATTATCTGTCTTGGTGTCAACGTTTGGGGGAGCCAATGGATCAGCATATACCAGTGGCAGGTTTGATTTTTGTTATTGGCTTAGTAGCTTGTAAGTTTTATACAATATCGTCCAATTTTAGTCCTTACATTGACGACCCGAGGTCACGATGACTGTCGCTTTATGTGCTTTAAGTTTCTATTAAGACAACGCAAACATGTTACATAAATTTATAATTTTAATAATGATATTCATCCATTTTTTTAGTTTTACAAAGATCAAATGAAATATTGTAGTTAGATATTTTGACTATTAAATTTGTATTTATCTTCAGAGTAGTCTTTGCCGCCGCTAGAGATGGATTTTTACCAGAGTATTTATCTTATCTTCATGTGAAAAAATATACACCTTTACCGTCTATGATATTTACAGTAAGTTCTGAAACACCACTTCTATCTACATTTAGATGGTCAGACTGATTTCAACATTCATAGCAACAATAATGTGTCCCACACTATTTAAAGACAGGTACTATGATCAGATCATAAATTAACTCACCCATTAAATATATGTGTAAGGTTTTCAACCGTTTTCAATATTTTCGTTGGGTTGTATTATTTTTACCAACTGAAATAATATATCAGTGACTATTCCACCTATATATTCCACCATATAGATACATAGAAATAGTTTTTAACGTCAACACGACACTAACCATTTCTTTCGAGACTAACATGAATATTTCTTTTTATTTTATGATCAGTAGTGGAATACCGCGATTTATCAGTGAAATAAAAGTGTTATTCCACTGGCTAGTGGCTAGCAAGTAGTCCATGTTGTTTTTACCTAAAATGATTGTAAAATCATAAAATAAATAGAACATTTGTCGTTTTGTCGTGAATAACATATTTTATTTCATCTCTAAGCAAGAAAACGTTTATATTTTCACACATGCTACGCATTCGTGAAAATATAAGTTTTCTTGCTTCTCGATGAAATAAAATATGTTATTCACTCTAAAACGACAAATATCCTCTATATATTAGTAATTCTTTCATGGAACTTTAGTAGTGGAATAAAACCGAAGGCACAATACCCTATCATTTGCCATATAGACTCGTGTATCAATGCCTATTATTGGCAGGGGATCCAAATTCAACCCCCTTTCTTCGATTCTAAGACCAAAATCTCAAAGCCAATGTGGGAAATTGTATGTATTTTTATATTGATTTCCCGTGTATACTAAAAACATTGAGATGAAATACAATCGATGACATGGAGTAAAGTAACGTGGTTCCGATCCAAAGCTTGCACGTGACAAGGAGTAGGGTCGCCTGCCCAACTACTACAGACTCCTATGCCCACGCAAATTATTGATACAAAATTGCGCCATATGTTAGTCCAGAAATGACGTAGTTTGTGTCGAGTGGAAGAAACCCCCATATTCCACACAACACGATTCAAAAATGTTCAAAGGGGTTACATGCATACAAGTAAAGGTTATAATTTAAACTATTTTGTTATGAACAGAAATATTATATTAATAGGATCGGACTATATATGTGTTATAATGTATACTATTCCAGGTATTTGTCTCATTATTAATGATCATACCCGGTGACACTAGTAGTCTCATTGACCTGTTCAGTTTTACTGCCTGGTGCTTTTATGGAATGACTTTCACAAGTTTATTAATACTGAGATATAAAATGAAGGAGGCACACAGGCCGTATAAGGTAAACTTGTTTATTTTTAGTACGAATTTGAACCCTCCATAAATCTTTTCTTTTTTTTTAAAAAAAAAAGTAGCAGACACCAATATTGCATTGCCGTATTGCATCACCCTGGAATTAGTTATTTGATTTAGATTATAGATTTATCCAAATTGTGAACACAGGTCTGTACTGATACGAGCTCTGTCTATGGATTATGATGTCAAATGAGTGAGATGTCTGTGTAGTAACGATAACCAATAAGGGTAGGGTTAGTGTTAGCGCTAGCCCTATTTATATCCCTTTACCTTCGACCAAATCTACAATTGGCCTTAATATTTAGACCTAACCGCTTATTTTCTTGAGTCAATCTATTAGGACAGAATGTTAATTTGATAAAACACATGCTCTTTAACCTTATAATGTAGTTTAAAGGTGAACGGAAACTAAGAAATAATCGAAAATTATGGTCTGATTTTAATGACACCAACTATTTTTACAGCTAAATTCAGCATAAGAAATATATTATTCTTGCCCTTGTTTTTCAGGTCCCGATAGTTATACCAATACTAATGGTTCTCATTTCAATTTATCTGGTTATTGCACCAATAATTCACGAACCAAAAATAGAATTCCTGTACGCGTTTGTTTTTGTGATGGCTGGTCTTCTTTTTTATTTCCCATTGGTATATTTCAATCTTCATTTTAAATGTATTGGTAAGTATTGAATCGGTAGAAACCTCTTTAATTATAAGGGAATTAATTAATTTTCGCATTTTATTTTATTTTATTACTCCGGTCTGATGCTCTTACCTTTAAAGGTAATTTCTCTGTATTCACCACTTGAACCCAATTACAGCTGGGTTGATCGGCATGGTAATCAGAGATGATATGTCTTAAGTAATTGATATACGGACTCCATACATAGTGGGGGTATAATCAAGGACACTGCATAATGATTCGATACAGTGAAGATCAACTCGCTAACCGCTGTCACGTCTCTCCACACAGCTTATGAAAACTAGACAAAGTGTGGAAAGAATCTATGCGAATTAAAGTATTTCAGAAATACGCTCAGAGAGAGCGAGAGAAATGGGATTTAACGTCCACTCGACACAAACTGGGTCAATTCAATAATTCCATTGCGCGTAGAGGCTTTAGCAGGGGGGGGGGGCGGAGGACCCGGTGAAAACCCAAGAGTTTGGACAGGCGACCCTACCCCTTGTCACTTACAAGCGGGAATTCGAAACGAGGCTATCAAAACGTATACAATGTATACAATACTGTTCGGAAACGAACTATTAATACCCTAAATCACTGTCCAAAGTTTTAGGGAAGACCCAAGATTAAACGAAGGGCTGTCATGTTGCTGTACTTGGGATAGATTCGATTGAACGGGAAGAATAGACACTCTCCCTCAAAAGCTCAAGTACCAGAAGCCAATCCAGCACAATGGCCAGAGAGGGATTTCTCGGGTCATTGCTTCAGGAATATGGTTCAGATACGACCTTACGAATTCTTACTGAATGTTAATTCCTACTTGGTCCGCCAAAGTCAAAACCTTTTAACATGGATGAAAAACAATGCATGGAACTTGTGTGGAACTTTCTTTTGTAGATACTCTCTCTATGTATGGTCAACTGTTCCTGGAAGTAGCACCACCAAAGTCTGAGGAAGATAAATTGTAAACATATCATCGATTAGGGCAAGAGCGAATGATAAATGTTCATTATTTAAATTAACGAAGGTCAAGGCCTAAATGCGTTGATTGGATAGTAATAAATGTCTGAATCACAATATAATAAAAAAAATAAAGTGTTTCCATGCAGTATGAAAAAGTTGCGTAATTATGGTTATTAAAAAAAATTACTCATGCGTTTAAAACTCCAACAGATAAAATTAAATTAATAGTACAATGTAATATTTCAAAGCATAAAACCTTCTCACTTAAAAATTGGTCCCCCCACAATCTTTGACATTGGAAAATAATATATCAAAGGATCTCTATTAAAATTAAATTAATAGTACAATTAAATATTCCAAAGCATAAAACCAGTCCGCTCTTTAAATAGTATGCTCCTCGCAATCTTTGAAATTGGGAAATAACATATCACAATCCGGGATCTATCCAATATACTGGTCATCAATTGTTTCATGGTAAATCTCCTTTAATTGTTTTCAGTGGAATTATGTCGTTGTCCAAATTGGAGGGGTCGAAATAATTGTGGTTTATTATAATTGTAACATGTGGTTCTATCGAACTCTGAAAGCCCCCCCCCCCCAACCCCGAATTACCAGCAAACAGATTTTTCAACAGATATTTTTTTTATGTGTTGTGATTGTACAATGGATATTATTTTAGTTAGAGTGGATTTAAACATAATTGGCAAGTTTTTTCATAATCTGCTAACCTTTATGTTGGTGAATACGATATAAATATTCTCTCAAAGAGACATATATAGAGCGGTATGAAATCAATCAACATATACCTAAGTATAATTAATAACTGAATTATGTTAGGAATAATGGTTTGAAATACTTTTAGATATATTTTTGTTGTAAGAGTATTTATGGTTGTGCATAATAATATTTTTTTGTTTCATTTCTTGTGAATGTGGCTTATGATTTCTGTAAAATATTATAGGTATATTTAATTATAATTTTATATGTTTTTACTAAGATTTGGTTTTCAAGCATTCTTTTCATACAAAAATCATTTATATGGATTTTGAATTAGTATAATAACACAGGACACATGGAGTAACTTTGTTTCCATCGCGTCAGGATCGTCACAAAGGGAGGGGGTGCGCAGGGGGGGGGAGGGGCAAAGCCCCCTGCAAAAGTTTTGACCCCATCCCCCACTGTGAAAAAATTGTCGACCATAAAATCAATAGATATATATTGTCCGTCAATTTCACAGCGCGCTGAGAACACCACCCACCCCCTCGTTGTTCTGGGCTAGTCACTACCCAACAGGGCAATACTTGTCAACAGTGGCATTGGCTAAATTGTTTTGAAAAGGGAACTAAAACGATTAACGTTGATAGATGTTCAGACTGTGATATAACTGAAGCACCATAGCCTTTTACTACCTGATAACTATCATAATGACTGCTTACTATTTCCGCAACACCTAATACCAGTCTTTATCTTGACATCCTGCGTTAAATTACAAATACGATACTTAATGAAAGACATGGGTACAATCTATTGAATTTGATTCATTGTGATTCTCAAAACCATTTAAGAGTTCACGTTTTTTGCTTCCCAACTAAGAGTCTATTTACTAAAGCGGGTGTAAAAGGCGTTTTAAAATACCTGTGACAAGATCCTTTGATGTTGGGGTACCATTATTTCAAATAATGTACGGTATCACTTCAAAATCAAAAACAGACTTTTATGGAATAACAATTACTATGGTTTATTTCACTGCGACGTTTCAACAAGGTTTCACAAGTCGTTATCAAAATGTTTGATAACGACTTGTGAAACCTGCTTGTTGAAACGTCGCAGTGAAATAAACCATAGTAATTGTTATTCCATAAAAGTCTGTTTTTGATTATGTTCCAATTACTTAATGCCATTCAAACAATACGGTATAAACTAGATGAAATATTGGACTCGCGTGACGTATTTCATTGAAAAGCACGTGCGGAATAGTGTCTGTATTTTAAGTTGTTTAATGGTCTCGAACTTAAGACATTGCGTAATATATTGAAAAAGGACTCGGAACTAACGCCCTGGTACAGTATCGAGAGAGAAAAAGAAATGGGGTTTAACGTCCACTCGACACAAACTAACATATGGTTTAATTTTATTTCAATAATTCGCTTGCGCGTAGGGGTCTTTAGCAGTGGGGGGGACCCGGAGAAAACCCACGAGGTTGCCTTTGAAATTTAGTTTTACAGTACACCAACATATCTTCTATCATTTTATCATTACATGTTCAACGCCTACTTGAATAAAGCTCTGTCCGAATTCAAGTATTATTCTATTACTCTCCAATAATATCTCTTAGATAATATAGTGAAATTCTTCGTGTTGTTATTGGAAAAGAATATTGTGGTAACGTTGTTTTTTCTGACAGTTTTGATTTCTCCCACGGCATAATTGCAACAGATGATAGTCATTGATAGCGTTCCTCGTGTATCAAATGTCCGATAAAACTTGCTAAAGCTGTTAAAATCCCATTTTCTTCCGGGGATTTATTATTCAATCGAACTAAATGAGTTGTATCCGTATTATTGCACAGACAACCCTGATACGACGCAGGTTTTCTGTTCGTCGAAGCCATTTTACTTTCGTTTGTTTGTTTACAAGCTGTGTTCCGGTACAAAAAGTAGTGCGTTGACCTCATGACCTGTGACGTTTACATAACGACACATGGATATCACTATGCGCTCGCTGTGTCAGAGTCACGTCGTCTCTGCAGGTAGGGTGGGTCTGTCTTTCAGATTGGGTTTAAAGGCACATGTCAAATGTCAGGGGTTCTTTTAGGTGCACGTTAATGTGTACACGGAACCTCGGTCTTTCGTCTCATTCGAACGACTATTCGTTGTCTCTTGTCGGGCCACTGAAAAGGGGAGACCACGCTGGAAAAATCCGATGGACTTTATCAACACCGGGATCGAAGACAGGACCTCCAGGTTTACGAGCCAACATCATTCTTCCAGATGACAGGTGACTTCCGCTATTTTGATGTCAGTGGTTAGACATTTCAAATGTCTGAAACTATTTTAAATGTCTCCGAATGTGCAAATTACAATTATTTGAAAGTTGAATTTCTAAATTGAATATCAGCCCAAAAGTTTCAAAATTTATTTAAACATATATATCACTTTCTAGTGTGACACTATCGTCTAGGACTTTCTTTGACTTCACGTTAAGTGGGGTCAAATATTTCAATCATCACTTAACTGACACTGGAACACCGTTTATGTTGTCCTAAGGTTGCAGCAAACTGCAAATGTTAAATACAGGATAACTACAACATCTGTCATATATACTTTAGGCGTTATTAAAATATCCACGGTCTGATTTTAACATCCTGTATAACTCTGACCTAAAGGCTGAAACGTGGCACGAGCCGCATACCTCTAGATATTTCTACAGGATGTTCGCACTAGTCTCTAAGCCGAATAGGCTATGATGTTCACCTAGGAACTCCAAATAATACCTCATCTACGGTCTTGTATAGAACGTATAGATGCGTCAGCTATTAGGTCGGGACAATTAACATATTTGGATAAGTGTTTCGTATGGGCACCGTTTTACGTCAACATTATTCTATCTAATTGGGCTAATCTGTATACGAGATGGCTGGATAATAGTACCCCACATCCAGCAATTGATGGTGACATAACTGTAACATAGTCTAGGAAAGTTGTATCTTGAAAAATACCTACTTAGCCCATTTCTCGTTGTCACCCATATGTTTTTCTACTTCAATATATATATTAAGCAGAGCACCTTTCATAGAACTAAAATAACCCCTAGTATTACACTAGCTAATAATTGATCAATCATTTTGATATTTTGTTATAGCCGTTATGAAGAATCTATAATGGTCGTTTTGACTAAATTTTCGCACATTTGTTTCCGTTTTGAACTTCTGTGTCGTCTAATGAATTCATTTTCATAATAAAACCAGGAGTCCCGCATTTTAATTAAGAGTCAACAAGGAATCGCCTGGTGTATTTGAGTTCTGAAGAGACCAATTGACCTATGACAAGTTTTGTAGTTTAAACCAACCTACTAACAGACATAGCAAAATGAACTAACATTCATGAACATCGTATGCCCCAAATAACTATATTGGATAGGAGGAATGTAAGTAAGATTTTATATTCTATGTTACGACACATTGTTGTTTACAAATACATACCTTAATTCTTGTAATAATATGCATGTAACTTGTATCTTGTAGATTTTTTTTGCGTTTAGTACGGCCCCCTTGCTCTTACTATTACATAATAGTAAAAATGCTAATTAATATGACGTATTTCTTTAAAATTGCAGTTAAAATTTGCATTTAATTCTATTTTCATATTAGATTTAATTTACTGTTAAATTTTGAGGTATTAAAGCAGACCGTAGTGATAAAGCATATTATCATACGCATTACCAAGTTAGGAGTTATAATAGCGGCGTGCATTCACGCTTTTGAAAAGTTGTATTAACTGCAAAATTTAAATATTGTTAACCTACCAATTCATAAACATTCATCTGCCAAATAAATATCCTTCGATGCCGCGTGTCATCATCATCTTAAATAAACCACCTTTGTGTCTCCAAAAAAATAAATACAAGTATTGCTAACACTTGTACTTTGTTTGAAACAAAACCATCCGTCACACATATTTTTTTATATCATTTTACTTCAAATATGATATAAATAACCGCCCATCAATGTCAACTTCCTTTATTTGAGGAACATAAAACGTCTACATATCTCAGGAATGTCAGTACTTATTGTCCAAAAAATGTGACCCTTAAAAATACATTCTCACAAAAGTACTTATTGGGTGGTTATTTCCAATAAAAGTTTGGCAAATTTGGTATATATGGAGAGTATAGACGCCCAATCTTACTAGAAAAATATTGGATTACCCGACAAACACCTATGGGGCAAGCACCAGGACAAATGTCAAGGTATCACTAACTGGCAACCAGGCGGCTTATTGTCTGCCAGCTTGACTTAGGAAACGGTTGTTATTTATTGATCGAATGGATAGGCGGTTTTGGGAACATTGAGGGGTGTAAAGATATAACAGACTCGGCAATTAAATAGCGGAAAAGAAGCTAGCAGAATATAATTTAAGAATTTACTTTTAAGTCTCAATATGTATGGTAAATGGACAGTAAGTAATGACAAATACAACCTGACTAAAATACGGATCTATCTTCCTTTCGTTTTTTTATACTTTCGATGGCCTACACTACATGAAGATCTGACCAGTTGTAGTGGGAGGTCGTGTCAGAGGTCATTCAAGTGGCTTTTTTACCCTATGACGTCATACATTGATTAATCAACCAGTGTTAATGTTTCTAGTGGTATACCCACAGTGTCGTGCATCGCACGCCAAGAACTCGCCGTAACAGATCGTTTCATTCGCTAATTCCTCATATCAACCAGAACGCGGCTTATATAATAACACTTCCAGATCCTAGTGTAGTAAAGACAAGTAAAACGAAATTTTGAACTATGAAAAACGAAACGATGTCAGTACCATGGATTTGCGTCTATACTCTGTAGACGATGAACAGTAAATCGGAGCTGTTTATTGATACAATTTTGTATATTTATATTTACTACAATGTCTCTCATACACAGGTCTGAAAAATACACTAAATCGCACCAGGTAAACAAACTTTTGTAGTTACACGACTCAAAAGATTGATTTATTATATGGGTTGATTTTGAAAGAGAATATAAATGCAATTTCATTAAAAGTAAAAATGGTATGATTTATAGTTTTAGAGAAGTCCCAGTTTGCGATTTTTAATCCACGGTGGGCAGAGAACCACAGTAACATACATGAAAATATGTATAGTAGTCTGTTTATACAGATGAAATTTCAACCGTGTCTCTGATTTATGATAAGCTAATATAATAATGTTTGTAAATGTTTACATATGCTCTATATCTTACAATAACACGTTTGTTTATTATAAATAAAAACAAATAACATGCCAATAACCTTGTCACGTCCATCATTCGTCTTCAGAACCATCACTAACTCTGCTGATATGGCGACTGAAAAAGAAATCACGGGTAAGTAACTTTAACATTAATGCCAATAATAAAACGTATGTTTCATTTTTAAGAACCTTTAGCATATTTCTGTTAAATCACAAAGGCAAGATAAATGTTATCTTTAAAGGCGAAGTTTTCTCTTAATTCAGCAGTATTTTTTAATATTATAAACTAACGTGTCGATTGCTTTTTGATTTTTGAAACATAGTTAGTTTAGACATAGATTTCAGATGTTGAAGTAATGGTGGGGGAAATAGACTCGTCAACCCGAAGTAACACACCAATCATTAGACAAACCTAATCGATTTTCCCATGCTCGCCCCTGAAAGATCATATAGGAAGGCATGTCCGCTGACTGATATGTTAGAATATAACACAGAACAGTTAATTATGGAAGCCTATAACTACCATTCATAATTTCTACTTTTCGCCACTTCAAAACAGGAAAGTCGAAAAGTAGAAGTTACGACAAAATGTGAGGCGACAACACGCTATACAAGCCAAAATCAACTCGAAAATAGGAAATTAAGAAATAACACACAGCGATAATAGCGCCCCTCCTTTTTTCCTAATTTCTTATTTTCTACTTGCATTTTGGCTTGTATACCGTCTTGTCGACTTTCGACTTAGTCATATTTTTGTATTTATTGATGTCAGTAAGAAGGCACCAACACGCTATACAAGCCAAAATGCAACTCGAAAAGTAGAAATTAGGCAATTAACACACCACGCTATTAGCGACTTTTCGCCTCGGATTTTGGCTTGTATACCGTCTTTTTGACTTCCATTCGGGCTTGTATACCGCAGCGAAATGATCTAGTTTGTGTCGAGTGGACGTTAAACCCTATTTTCTCTCTATCTCTCCCTTGTCAGTGATGCAGGACGTGGAGGTCGGGTGTTCTATCCCTGCATTGGTAGTTATAGGCTTCCATAGTTAATAGATGATCATTCCCAAATAAAACATTCTGATAAATTTTGTACCATTAGCATTTTCAGAAAGCCTGCATTTGACACTGGAACTTTCAAAACATCACGTCCACCAAATGCACATTTGTGCTATGATTTGTGAAGCAGACATGCAATAGCCGAAACCACCCTTCTGTGTATGTGTGCAATGCTTTTTTAAAAAAAAATTAAATCTGTATATTATACCCATTTCAGTAAAGAACATCTTTATCCCAAAAGTTCTGTAAAAATATTTAAGTCTGTCAATAATGTTTTATAGGTAACGGCAGTAAACCTCCCTCCATTAAAATTGAGAGTGAGAATGTGGCATTGATAAAGACTTTGGGACTTCCGGGTGCCATGTCAATCATTGTAGGTACTATAATAGGTAAGTTTTTGAAACGGTCTTCCACAAAACTTAAGGATGAGGCCCTGCGTTTAGCCCTGGTTACATAATATATCACAGTATATAGATAAATACCGAAGGACATGAGAATACACGTGTGTTAATCTGTTGTATATGGCTATAATTTGGGAACAAACGGAAGATAATAGTAATATAATTAATTTACCATTGCTATTATTGACCATTTTTGCGGAGGTAATACGTTTCTAATAACATGGGTTTCTATTTATTTTTTCTTTATGTTATGTCAACGACGTTAATTTTGTAAAATAGGAAAAACTTTACCTGTAGGATTTCTGCACACTTGTATGTAGTTACAAATATGGGTCCAATTTAAATATTGCAATCTCGTTAAGTTGTCTACTTTATCTTTTTGAGATGCCCGTTTCTCGAATGTAATATTGTTGACAACCATTACACAAGTCAAAATATATATCAGGGTTTTTTTGTGTCACAACTAATATTCTTGTTGACGCTAAAAGTAAAATTTGAATTATAAAAGCTATTTTGCGAACATTTCTTTAAATGTGGAAATTTAAACACGCCTCATTGTTTTTCAGGTTCTGGAATATTTATTTCACCCAAAGGTGTGCTGAACTATACAGGATCTGTGGGACTATGTTTGTTAGTGTGGGTCGGGTCCGGTTTGATATCTTTAATGGGTATGAAACAATTTTTGTGTTTTTTTTTCAAATATTATTTATTCAAAATATTCAATTTGATAATGTGGCACTGTTCAACATCCTAAGATATCGCACCCTGGCGCTGGTGGGAGGATTTAGACTAGGTGTGCCATAGGAGCATGTTCAGTGTGGACCAAATCTACATGATTATTACTGATAAGACATGAAAAAACAGTTCAATTATACCAACACAAACGTGGCATTTAAGTACTGCAGCCAGAATTAAATGTGCCCAAGAAGCATGTTCAGGTTGCCTACTGAGATATTATTAACGTAAACATAATTATTAAGTTTCGTTTAAATCGGTTGATAGATGCGGTCTGCAGCCGTGCCACATGAAATGTGTTGTAACATGATATCTCCGAAACGGCTGACCGGAAGTGGTCTAAATTTGCCTACTCCGAGATATTATTATTGAAATTGGTTGATAATTGCGGTGCGTAGACTTACCACATGTGGTTAATAGCCCCCGAATTGACTAACCACAGTGGCAAATAGCCCCAGCCCAAATAGATGTCCTAAAGTATTTTGACTTAAGTTTGCAACCATGATTCGGCAATCTTAGTTTCAATAAAATGCGGAGTACTTACTTCCCTTCGTCCACCCGCTTTATATTTATAGATTATTTTTTTTGATTGGTCTATAATTATGTCTCTCCCCGTGAATGGACCCATGGATTAGTGGAATTAATAGAACCGAGCGATACGAATGGGAATATCCAGGTTGAGCATTAGTAGGAAAGAGGGGGAAATCGATGAGGTAAGGCAGGTGATAAAGCATGTTATCAAAACCACGAAACCTCTATCAATGACAAATCTTATGATCTTAAGCTTACCCAACCCCTCTACTTATTAACATTGTTCCTATGTAATCCTTATAAGACATAAAGAGGTAGATTTCACAAATTAAAAACACTTATATGGATCTACTACTTCTGAATTTATTAACATGCTACGTTTCCATACACATACTGGTATCGTTATTTGCTTGATAACGATATCTGTATGTGTATCGAAACGTAGCATGTTAATAAATTCAGAAGTAGTAGATCCATATAGTTGTTTTTAATTAAATTGTTTCTATGGTTCGAATGAAGATAGGTACGTTGTATCGCCTGCCAAGACATTATGCCATAAGTTATGATCGACGTCGGTGTCATTATCATAGATTTTCACTTTCCCTGGCGGATTGATAACGTCAAAAGGGCCAAAAATTAAATATTATGGGTTTGACGCCCACCCCTGTATCTATTTCACGTAAACAATTCCTGTTCAAATATAATAAAAGGTTGCCATAACACTTTCGAAGGCCCTTAAAGATATTACCCCTGTGACAATAACTATATAGCTGTCCCCACTCGATATTGTTATTAAGGTATTTATATTATGTTTTAGTTACTTGAATGTTCAAATACTCACATTATAGTGTTCAAGTTCCATACTATTATGTACCATTACAGGCTGTTTGTGCTATGCAGAACTTGGAACGATGTTACCTCAAACCGGGGGAGAATATGTTTATTTGAAAACAGCTTTTGGAGATATTCCAGCCTTCTTATTTGCTTGGTTTAACATTATGATTTCTAAGACCTCGTCCTTTGCAATCGTCACTTTGACATTTGCTACGTATGCTGTATCATTCTTTAGCATGTGTGGAGGACCTCAACTACCAGTGAAGCTCATTTCTGCGATAACTATTAGTAAGAATATATACATATTATTTTACCATTGAACGAAAGTCCACATTAGTTCCTTAAAAGTGCCGCTTTGGGCATCTTTAATTGAAAAAGTCCGAATAAATACCACCCAAACAGCATATCTACAATTTGTTTAAAATCTGGTCGAAGTCCTGCTAGTACATGCATTCTCGCTTTTGACATATTTTAATTAATTGGACTAGGCGATCGCACCTATGTTACCTTTCCGTCGTCTGCTAATGGATCTAAAAAAATCACCAAAGTGTGTCAACTCTGGGTAAAGTAGTGTGTTAAAAAGTACGACCCAATTAATAAAGAAATTAATTACAAATTGGAATCATTGACTCTACCAGGAGATGACCCCGGGTTCATCACTCGAATCCGATAATATAAGAAATTAAGTTTAGTGTAATCGGGTATCCATGTCTATCATTGCTCGTGGGTTTGAATTTGGAAATAAAATATGTATTCTACTTTAAGTAAAACGGATTTATTTATAGACCCCAATTAAGGACTGTCCCATTTGAGCAGTGGTGGGCTTTACATTCCCGATCCAATTGAAATTATGCAGCGGTTGATATTGTATAATTCACCTCTCTTGGTCCAGTCTGAAAAATGACATAACTGGTCAAATAAATATTTTATCAAGAGGAACCAGTAAGCCCATCTCCACAAGTCATTTTACGACCCCCACCCCCGCCACTCCCCGCCCCCAATTTTGTTTTTCAAACTTTCAAATATGAATTATATCTCTTCAGTTTTAGTCGGTATAATAAACAGTTGGAGTGCAACATTAGCTGCAAGAATACAAATTATTTTTACATTCGCTAAAGTGTTAGCTTTAGTGGTAATCATCATAGGGGGCTTTGTGAAGATAGCCCAAGGTATGGAGTTTATCTTTTACATTAATTAATTGTAAAAAAATATTTATGAAATCTAATCAGTACATAACACAACACACAGTTCTATTATGTAATAGATAGCTATCTGATTTTTACATACCTCTAATATCTCCCATAGCAGCTAGTGATGTTTTTGGGTGGCTATTCCCCGCATCTACATTCTGTAGGCTTTAGGGGTTAATATAATCTGAACGACAGACACACCCTACCTGCAGAATAGTGAAAGAAAAGCTAGCTACCATTTACTTTTCGTACATTAGTTACGTACCGGGTTGAAATTGAGGTAATATTAGTCTTCAATAACCACATGCTTTGAATTTCAAGTGCATTGAGAATGCAATGCCAAAATAAATTGTTTGATACTATTTTTGTTTTGATTTTTTTTTTATTATTATTATTTTAATTTATTTGAAGGTCATACATCAGTGCTTTCCAGTGGTTTTGAAGGAACTTTGAATTCTCCGTTTGTCATAGCACTGGCATTTTACCAGGCCTTGTGGGCATACGGTGGATGGTGAGCAAATGTTTTTGTCTGAATAAATGTCGGTTGGCACTTAAACTGGTTTGTTTCTTTATGAAGGGAAAGGGATAATGTAGCCCGAGCAGTACTGTTTTCGCTTATTCATCTTCGAGTTCCAAGGGTTCATTTTGTGTTGGGCGTATTGTGTCGTCGCCCATATCGTTTGTCTGTCTACAACTGGGTAGTGTGAACGCGACATGTTACACTTTGAAGAGATTCTTTTCAAATTTGGAGGAGAGTATTGGGATCATGATCAGGACGATGCCTTTCTATCCTGAGCCCCCCCCCCCTTTCCCCGAAACCTTGTTAACGCGACACAGGCTAACATTTTTAACGGATTTGTTCTTCAAATTCGGTTTTAAAACTTGGATGCATGGGCGGACAAACCTAAGATTTTCGGGTGCAGAGATACAATATTTGTCCGGAAAATCTTGTGAACACATTAACGATTAGATTTCTTAAAGAACCTAGATCCTTATTAAATTTGGTCGACGTCCAAGCTTCCTTTCTGACATTGTGTGGGCGTATAGCTAGTGTCAGTAATATGTACCACGGAACGTTATTCATTTTTAACCGTATAATAAATTACGGGTTGAAAATATTCCAGAACATGTTTTTGGGGATTTATTTTTCCTTTCGGTTTATAGAAACATTTAGTTTAATATTTGTTTCAGGCAAAACCTAAATATGGTTGCAGAGGAAATAAAAAACCCACCAAGGTATTCATTACTTTTAACTATATAGACAACTAACTGTTCATTAGACGATCTAGAACTCTGTTAATCTGATAATTGTCATATTTTATATTCCGTATTTTATATTTTACTAAACAATAAAGTATGTAGTAATTCTAGTTACATTGACCATCCCTACCTTGTTTAATATTTATTATCGGTTGTTTATTAGTCTGTTCTATTGATGTTTCGTATATTTGAAGAACAGTAGTTACTATGATATCGCCCGAAGCACACAGGTATACAGATACAAAACATTGAACAACCAGGAGCATGGAATGGTCACACTATGTATTTTCATTTCAGAGATATCCCACGAGCGCTTGTTAGCAGTGTCATAATTGTTATAACCTTGTATGTGTTAACCAACATATCTTATCTAACGGTAATGACTGTTGATGAACTTCTTGATTCCCCAGCAGTTGCAGCGGTAAGGAGTCTATTTTGTATTATTGATTCGGGCTCATGAGAGAGAGAGACAGAGAGACATGCCCGCTTACTGTTGCTGCATATTCTTCGGTTTTTCCACTTAAAATTTTTCTTTTTGGATAAACTTAATTTCTTTTTATTGCTGTTAATTGGGAAAATATATTGTCTGAAAGTCTCAAAACATTCCTAATCTTAAGCTAGAATTCCATGGTTTGCGATGGGTATCGACGAAAATCATTGAAATAAATTTCAGGTGTAAGGTAATCACTCCAACCTGTTTTCATTTATTTTTATCTATCCACATCGTGCACTACTGTGAATGTCCCTTCTTAAAATTGATTTTGGAAATTACATTAGATGTGGGTTATTTTACTGTGAATTAGATCCTATGTTGGTGTGTTAAAACATAAAACCATTTTTCTGACAATGCATTATAGACATGGGGAGAGAAAGTTCTGGGAGCTGCCAAGATGATTATTCCTTTGTCTGTAATGGTATCAACGTTTGGTTCCACCAATGGTTCAGCCTATGTTGGTGGAAGGTTAGTTTTGGTTAATTATGGCCTGTCCATTACTCTAAAACATTTCAAATTCGTTCTCTGGCACACTACACTTTAACTGATTAAATGCACTGATTAATAATACTTCCGACAACATGGTATAGGCGACTGTTATGAAATGGGAAATTATGTTGATAAAATTTTATATAGCTTTTTTTATACGCCCACATTTTCATGTGGACGTATATTGTCGTCGCCCCTGTTTGTCCGTCCGAACGTCCGTTCACAATTTATTTGTGGACACTCTACAGGTCACAATTTTTATCCAATTTCAACGAAACATGAATTATAGCTTTATCTCCCTAAGATCTCAGTTCCTTTCGATCTTGGCATGTCGGAACGTAACTTCCTGAATTATGGCCCCTGATTGTACCAAAAATCACGTTTTTAGCTTGTGCACCATATAGAAGTCATAATTTTTATCCGATTTAAAAAAAACGTTCTAGTATATCACCGTTACACCCTAAGGAAGGTTGATTTCGAATTTCGTAAAAATCGGCACAAAACTAACAGACAGAATGGCCGCCCCTTGTTCTCAAATAGCGGAAAAATGTGGTATATCAAGGTTGTGGACCCTATGGAGGTCACATTTTTTATCCGATTTTGATGAAACTTGAAATGTAAGTTTATAACCCAAAGATCTCGGTTCCTTTCGATATTCGCACATATCGGTTAGTAACTTCCTGAATTATGGCCTTTGTACGAAAAATCGTGTTTTTAGCTTGTGGACCCTATAGTGGTCATAATATTTATCCGATTTACAGAAACGTTTGAATATAGCACTGTTACACCCTAAGGACACCTGAGTTCGAATTTCGTAAAAATCGGACCAAAACTGACAGACAAAATGGCCGCCCCTCGTACTCAGATAGCGTAAAAATATGGTATATCAATGTTGTGGAACCTCTAGAGGTCGCAATTTTCTTTTGATTTTGATGAAACTTGAAATGTAAGTTTACAACCCAAAGATATTCGCGCATATCGGATAGTAACTTCCTGAATTGTGGCCCTGATTGTACGAAAAATCGAGTTTTTAGCTTGAGGTCCCTCTAGATGTCACAATTATTATCCGATTTTAAAAAAACGTTCAAATATATCACTGTCACACCGTAATTTTGGTTGACTCTGAATTTCGTGAAAATCGGACCAAAACTGCCGGACAAAATGCTCACCCCTCGTACACAATTAGCGTAAAAATATGGTCTATCAATGTTTTGGACTCTCTAGAGGTCACAATTTTCTTCTGATTTTGATGAAACTTGAAATGTAAGTTTATAACCCACAGATCTTGGTTCTTTTCAATATCTGCGCATATCGGATCATAACTTCCTGAATTATGGCCCTTGATTGAACAAAAAAAATCACATTTTTAGCTTGTGGTCCCTATAGAGGTCACAATTTTTGTCTGATTTTAAAAAAATGTGTGAATATATCAAGCCTGGAAATAAGGCACCTGTCATTGACAATGTCAGGCACAGATTCAGGCTTTGTCAGGCGCAAAACCTGTGGTGCTTGTCATTTTGTCCGGCACTGATTTGTCTTTTTTATTGATATTATTAATACATGTCCGGCACTAAGTTGAAAATGTCAGGTATTATTTTATTAGTGCCTGACATTTTGTCAGGTACATCTTAAACCGTTCTTTCCAGGTCTGGAATATATCACCATTACACACTAAGATCTTGGATCCATTTGATAATCACGGATACCCGAATTTATGGCCCCTGGTTTATGGCCCCTGATTGTTCGAAAAATGGCATTTTTAGCTAACGGATTCTCTAGAGGTCACAATTTTTTTTTCCGATTTTAAAAACCATTTAAATATTCCACCATTCCACCATAATGAAGGTTGAATTCGAATTTCGGGAAAATCGAAATGAAACTGCCCAACAAAATGGCCGCTCTTTGTACGCAAATTGTGTAAAAGTATGCAATACGAAGGTTGTGAACCCTCTAGAAGTCACAATTTTTATCCTATTTTAAAACATATCTTTATATCTCAAAGATCTCAGTCCCTTTTGATATTTGCGCATTTCAGACCATAACTTTCTGGATTATTGCCCCTGATTGTACAAAAAATCCCGTTTGTTTTTAGCTTGTTCTCTATCCATGTCTTGCAAAATATGGGCGTATCCTGCCTGGCAGCCGCTGGTGAGAGCAATTCATTGGTTACTATTTTAGGTACTAGATATTGGAATATTAAGAAAGGTTATAGGTTGTCCATTATTTTTCTTCAGACTTATCTTTGCTGCTGCTAGAGATGGATTTTTACCCGAGGTATTGTCTTTTCTTCACGTGAGGAAATATACACCCATACCGTCTATGATATTAAGCGTAAGTTAAACACAATATTAAAACAAAGAATAAATGAACTTGGATTGATGATATAAGTACTAATCAATACGAGTCTTTGAAAGCTATAATTTATCTATTAAAGATACATTATGGGAGATTAGATAAAGAGCTGCAGTTCTCACTATTATAGATAAAAACTAGATAATGTATAGGGAATTTGCTGAAAATTTCCGTCAAATTGATCCACTCTGAACCGAGATTTTAGCGATTGAATTTTCGGCCTCCTGGATCATCATTACTAAAGTCGGTACGATAAAAAAAAACATAGTCTCGATTATCTATTTCATGATTAAATCATGAATGGAAATCGAACAGCAAATCGTAACCTAATCCAATAAACATCGCAGGGTAGCGATGACATTGAGAGTTAATTATGATCTGGATAAGTTAATAAATGTCTAATTAATAATTTAGATAACATTTCAGGCCTAAAGAAAGACCTGCAATAGGCAGATTTAGCTCTTGCATAATGTATATTTAACCATTCAATGTTTAAAATAAATTAATATCGAAATCCAAAATATTGCGCCAAATATATGATGTTTTTACATGAGACAAACTACATAATTATCAACAATAGTTTTATAAATACACAAATAAAAACAAATATCACACAAAATACCGATTAAAAACAAATATCACTCCGGGCCCATATATATATTAATTAACGATGAAAGTACTAGCCAAAAATTTAATTTTTAGTGTTTTTTCTCTAATATTTGAAGTTTACTTATATGTTAAACTGAGAGTTAGATATGATGTCCTTTAGATGCTTGCAATCAATCAAAATGTGTTTAAACGTCAAGAGGACCTGGCATTGTTGACATCTGGTTAAGATGAAAATGTGTGTTTAAAAAGTATGACCAATGCAGGAGGGGCACAAAATAACTTCATCTCTCCTGTTGGTTCTGTAGGAGTTTGGCCAGTCTCCTTGGAGAAGCTCAATGTGATGAAGTTTGTTGTGCCTGCAAGATCACAAGACCGTTGCCAGCGGATACAAATGAAACTATTTAATGATTTGGGAAGATCTAAACTTCTAAAGGATATAAATGTCTGCTACTAATGGGTGATCAAGCTGCATTTTAATAACAAACGGTTGATGATTGGGGTTTGTAGGAAACAGTATGCTGTAACTGGTTATAATATAGTATGTTTTACTTCATGTCAAGATTGAAAACATGTAGATCTTTCGCATATATCCCGAACACCAAGTAAAGAATTGTTTTTTTATGTAATTCAACGTACCACAGTTTAATCAAATCCTTCTTGAATCGCTGGCTGGCTAGTATGGAAATAATAGCACTATTATTTTTATTTTATTTTATTATTTTTTTTACTTTTGTTTTGTTTTTGTTTACTTAAATTCAGATGTCGGTGTGTAATCTATAGAATTGGATTTAAATTGACATAATTGATAGATTTATCCCCTGGGTTCCAACGAAAAGCATATATATCTCTGATCTATACACCGCCTGACACATTGCCAATCGTATTTCCTCTCTCTCGCTCACGATTTGTTTCTTCAGTCTCACATTACAAGATTTTGATCTGTAAGTAATGTTGTTTCATAGTGAAAGGTGACTTTGTTCTTCGAGGGGTCGCGATCAGATGATGGTTTCTGGAATGGGGTCGCAACCAACCAGTTATTGGGAACACTGATTTAACCGAAATGCTTTTTTTATACTAAAGTACTTAGTCGAGTCTTTAATGAATTAATAGAAAAATAGCTAATGGTTATTCCTAAAGAAATAAACTACTCAGACCATGGTTGTTTTATTTCAGATAACCGTCGCACTATTGATGATAATACCCGGCAGTATAAGTAGTCTCATTAACTTCTTTAGTTTTACTGCTTGGTGCTTTTACGGAATGACTTTTGCAAGTCTACTAGTAATGCGATATACAAAGAAGGACACCCCCAGGCCTTATAAGGTAATTCCTTTCATGACGAAAATTTCTATTAATATTTACCTTTCAAAATATATTTCCTCGACATCCTAATTACATGACAATTGTAAACCATGTTCAAACAATAGAGAAATATAATACTTACACGCGCCCAAATAGCCATTCCCGAAGAAAAAAATCCATTTCCCGTCTATATATGAAACTAAGGTGTCACGTATCCAATGTTATCCTTTGTCACAGCATAAAATCGGATATATGACCGTATGCTACACTGTGGGACACAATCCTGTGTGGCGTAACCAAATCGTCAATGTGACACTGCCCTGTGTCACAGCATTATTCTTCACGTTTTAGTGAGAGCATCTAGTTTATACAATATTTTTTTCTACAACACAATACAACACTCTGGAATTTAGATACTTAATAGTTTTAGGGGATGGCTATTAACAGACCCTTTTAACATCGTGGTAATTTGTAGTCTGGGACCTTTGGTTCTGTGGGTGACTAATTTCTAAGAAATCTAAAAATCGTGCAAGGGGTACACTTCAAATAAAAAGTAAATTATGTGGATCAAGTAAACAATTTCAAAGCAACATTATTTGTGATAATGGGATTTTTACATATGGATCGTTTTTACCATCATCAGCGCAGAAAATATATTTCCATTATATTATTTTACAGGTCCCCATAGTTATACCAATACTAATGGTGTTCGTCTCAATTTATTTGGTTGCTGCACCAATAATTTACGAGCCAAAAATAGAATTCCTCTACGCTTTTGTTTTTGTGATGTCTGGTCTTCTTTTTTATTTCCCATTGGTATATTATAATCTACATTTTAAATGTATTGGTAAGTATTGTATTGTATGAAACAGGTAGATTATCAATATTTTTTTTATATTGGGGGCGTATGCTATAAAAATACCCTATGTCCTATGTACACGTTAGCGTCATGGGCGTCACACATGGTGGGGTCCGAGGGGGGGGGGTCCGACCCTACCTCCAATTGTTTTTCTTGGGGGGGGGGGGGTGTCTGAATATACTGTACAACAATTATTAGGATTAGTTAAGATTTTATCTGTATAAAACCTGTACATATCCCAATATTGTTTACATTGCTAAAATAAAACACAGAGAGAATCATCCTGGAATCATGTGTGAAGTGAAAAGTAACTGTATTCCATAAAATTGTGATATGTAAATTTTTTTTTTTTTGCCACTTAAAACATTATCGTCTAAACCAAATATTTATCGCCCACTCAGCCAGCCACGTAACCCTAATGCTTTGCACGCGGTGGCTGGGCCAATCAGCAAACGAGTTGTGTACACAGCATGGCCACATGGTGTTTGTTTATATTTTTTAGGAGGTTAGGGGTTAGGGTTGTGGACCCCCCCCCCCCCAATATATATTTCACGGCTACACCTCTGGTTAGCGTGAAAAGAGCACTTGACAGTTGGAAACGCCCCCCACCCCCGCACCCGAGGTGGGGGCCGAATTGTTCTGTCATTGAATCAAGTAGCGTGATTTTGATTTCCCGCCTGTACGTGACAAAGAGTAGGGTGGCCCACATGAAAGCGGGGCATAACCCAGTCGCAAACTAGGTCTAAGTATAAAAAGGGTGTAGATAGGGTAAAGACAAAATGGTTTTATAGGCGGGTTTGTTTTTGTTCAACGGCTTGCCAAATTTAAAACCTCTTTCAGTAGCAAACTCATCTTGGCATTAATTGTGTATTGAAAACTCTTTTATAGATACTATTACCATGTATAGTCAACTACTCCTGGAAGTATCGCCACCAAAATCGAAAGAAGACAAGTTGTAACCACGTTTATTAAACGAACAAAATAAAATAGCTAGCACCAATATTAATTTAATAACCTAGTCCTGTTATTTTAAAATGCTTTATTATCATGATATATAAAATATATTTTTCACAATACAATAGTTGTATAGAACATAAATTTTGAGATGGAAATCATGTTTGTTTGTTTTTTACTTTCAAATGGAAATAACACCACTATAATTCGAGTTAAACGTGTCCATTGGTCCGTCAACAATGGGCTTGTCAACGCGGTGGAGGCTACCATTTTGGCGCGAAGCATTGGGGTCATAGGCTTCAGTTTTAACGGATTTTCTTTTTGAAGTATTGTCTGAAACATTTGAGGGGGTGGATGGCCGAATGGTTAGCACGTGCGCATTGCGCGCTGTATCATAAGGCCTGTCATTGAGTCAACTGGCGTGGTTTCGAATCCCCGGTTGTACGTGACAAGGAGTAGGGTCGCCTGTCCAACCTCGTGGGTTTTCTCCGGTTCCTCCCACTGCTAAAGACCCCTACGCGCAAGCGAATTATTGAAATAAAATTAAACCATATGTTAGTCCCGAAATGACCTACTTTGTGTCGAGTGGACGTTCAACCATGACGGAAATTACCGAGTAATATTTCATTTGGGAATTTGTGGCAAATAAGGGTTATTTGTTTCGATGTCTGCTTATAGATTTGAATGAGATCTGGGTCTTTTTAAATGGTGTAAAAATCTTCATATGATCTGTCTTTACTCTTTAGTTATTGGTCTAGGAGCACTAAAAACGGGTCGTTAATCCACTGATCTACTCGTAAATTAGTTGGTAAAAATGCAATACTTAAAGATACATTATGGGAGATCCGATAACGAGTTGGCAGTTCTCACTATAATAATTAAAAACTAATCTTTAAGAGGCATTTAGTAACTGGGTAGAGCAATACACAAAAAACACATACTTATGGAAAAACAGCTACTTATTTATTTGGGCGACGTTTCGAAGAGTATTCTCTCAACGTTATCAAGCTAATTAAAAACTAGATAACGTAAAGGCAATTTGCTGAAAATTTCATTCAAATTGTTCCACTATGTACCGAGAACTAAGCGAATGAAATTTCTGCCTAGCCTCGGTCATCATTACAAAAAGCAGTACGATAAACAGCATAGTCTCGATTATCCATTTAATAAACAGATTTAGTTCTTGCATAATGTATGTTTAAATGGAGATGAGCTGAATGCATTGATTCAAAATGCTGTCTCAAATAAAATGTGAGTCATATTATACAAATTATTCATTCACGTTAAGTTCATGACTTTCGATAACCGTGATACAGCTTTATACGTTATCAATTGTACATTGTGAATGCACTTTTAAAAATAAATGTTTATTGGCATGTTTTATTATATCAGCGCCGTCAAGAAAGTGTAAGAAGACTTTTTGTTAAGTTGACAGCTAACATTTAAAGGGCGTATGGCTCCATTTTCGGAACCTTAAAATAGGCAAAAATGTAATATACTATTCAAAAAAAGTAGGGGATATTTGATTTTTAAGTGTTATTAAAGTCACCTAATGAAACTGACGAAGAAACAAATGACAAAATGAAATGAAGTTCACATTCATCGATTTATTCCAAATGATCGTTAGACTAAGTAAGGCACAGACTGACCATTATAAGGGTAAAATGATACCCGGGGTCAAACAGCAAAGTTACCACAGCATCACAACCAAGTCAGTAACGGGTAAATCCTCCTCTGTTTGCCAAACAAGCATTGATCCGACGTGGCATACTCCTAATGAGACGTCTAAGGTCATTTTGGTCCAGATTGTCCCATTCCTGTTGCAACGCAGCAGCAAGTTCTTGGACATTGGCAGGACGTTGTTGACGTTGACGTAACCTCTGTCCAAGCATGTCCCAGACATGCTCGATGGGGGAGAGGTCGGGCCTCAGTGCTGGCCAAGGTAATGTGGTGATGTTCTGTTGTTGGAGGTAACCTGTAACGATCCTGGTCCTGTGACATCTTTCGTTGTCATCCTGGAAGATGAAACGGCGGCCATGACGTCGTGCGAACGGCACAACATGGACTACCAAGATGTTGTCCCGGTAGTACTGGCCTGTAATACGCCCTGCAACAACATGTAAAGCCGTTCTTCCAGCAACAGTGATGCCTCCCCACACCATAACAGAACCACCCCCAAATCGATCATGTCTGATGACGTTAACGTCTTGGAAGCGCTCGTTTCGACGACGCCACACCCTCCTACGTCTGTCCAAAAAATCAACAGTGAACCTTGACTCATCTGAAAACATCACATTGCTCCAGCGTCGATTATCCCAGTGTTGACGATCCCTACACCAACGACGTCTTGCCTGAATGTGATGATCTCTCAAACAAGGGATCACGCGAGGACGTCGGGCGCGAAGGTGACCCCTATGCAGTCGATTCCGAATCGTCTGGCCACTCACTCTCACACCAGTGTCTGTTTGAAGACGAGCGCTGATCTGATTTGCTGTGATGACACGATTTCTCAAGGCCAAGGTACGGATAAATCGATCCTGGGCTTGAGTTGTCGCCCTTGGTCGACCTGAGCGTGGTCTGTCCTGTACAGATTGTGTATCACGGTATCTGGACCATAGCCTGCTTATGACAGACTGAGAAACATTCATCGTCCGCGCCACAACCGCCTGTGTTGTGCCGATCTGTAGCATGCCAAGGGCACGTAACCTTTCATTTTGGGTAAGCCGACGCATATCAAAATTTGTTTTCTGGTCACTAAAACAATTAAACTGATGTTTCCACCCTGGAATTCAATGCCACAATGACTGTAACATTCAAAGTCAGAGTCGTGCAAATCTTGGGTTGGACCCCCATGATGATCCCAAGCATCACCTGCATTCCATGCGGTAGCTATTGGTGCGTTTGGGCGTCACATGTAACTGGAAATGTTTCTTCTGTTAGGTTCTATAGTGACTTTATTATGAGATAATTAGTATAGGCATAACCCCACCCAGGTCGGTAATTTACGATATACTAGGTGTTTAAGTCCGTCTATAATTTGAATTTTCTAGGTTCATTGTCATCATCATACCAGCAGATTCCGATGACCCAAGTATACACTCGAAATAAACTATATTTGAGGATGTTAATTTTAATATTATGTATCTTCAGTTTTAGTAGGCATAATAAACAGCTGGAGTGCAACATTAGCTGCAAGAATACAAATTATTTTTACAATCGCCAAAGTATTAGCTTTAGTGGTAATCATCATTGGGGGTTTTGTGAAGATGGCCCAAGGTATGGAGTTTATCTTTTAAATTAGTTAATAATAAACGTTGCCTAGGGCGACAAGATCAAGGGTTCACCCGACCAATGTATATAATATTTTTGACACAATTGGGATTAAAATGCACCTTAATCGCGGCGTGGTTTCTGCTTGTCAGTGGTGCAGGACACAGGGCCTGGCAAGGGACAATGTATAGTCGTTCGGATGGGACAAAAACCTGTGTGCTCGTTCAAGATCCCTTGGCAGTTGGAATTCGATATAAGCGTAAGCCATAGTGCCGATGTACGGGCAAAATTTACCTCAGAACACACTGTATAGCGTATGCCCATCTCCTTTAGCCCAGTCGGAGCAGAACCATGGTACTTCAAACCCCATTCCATTTTATTTTTATCTAAAACCAACACTGATTGTAGAACTGTCAATTGGTAATGTAATTCGTTTGAAGTATCAGTGATTTTTATCTATTTGAAGGTCGCACGTCAGTGCTTTCCAGTGGTTTTGACGAAACTTCGAGTTCTCCGTTTATCATAGCATTGGCATTTTACAGGGCACTGTGGGCATACGGTGGATGGTGAGCAAATTTTCTTGTACTTTCGTGTCGTTTGGATGCTACAGCAATATTACGGTTTCTAGGTCAACAATACAAAGGGTGTTGGGCCCGTGATGTATTGTTTCGCATACTATATATATATATAGTCTTCCGAGAGCCACCGGGTCTGGTATATGCACCCATAAGACAAAAATGTGTTGTTGCCATGTTAAAATCAGAGCACTTTTCCACTACTTTGTCTATTTGTATTTATTGACAATGGCACTATCATAGAATTCAACCAATACACACCACATAATGGTATTCCGCATTACACATGTACAAATTACTGCTTGAAAAGATTTCGGTTTATGTCGGTGGGAATTTGTTTGGGGTTTTTCCATTCAGTTTATTTGTATTCGTTTCAGGCAAAATCTGAATACAGTAGCAGAGGAAATTAAAAACCCATCAAGGTATTCATTACTTTTAACTATATGTATATGCCCGAATGAGCAGTGTATCAGATTCTAATGTTTATGTGCATTTGTCGCGACTAATGTTTGAGCCATTTCCCACTGATATCAGTCGCATTGCATTGTCCTGTTATATCTTTCATGTTATCATTTAACATTTGATTAAGAAATTAAAATATTAACGGTAGATGATCACCCAGCTTGTATTCATTCGGATTAAAAGGAGGTCCATTAAAATCATGTAGGTGGCGACCATGTGTTGACCACCTTGACCCATAACCTGCATGCCGAATGTTAATAAAATTTCAATTCACCATGCCTGGAATTAAATTATTTATTTTCAAACTTATATTCCTTTTAGATAATCAATTATTTTCGGACATGTATTCCTTTTAGAGATTCAATATTGTACAATATTGTTGTTTACAATGGGTTCCCGAATCCTGAAGTAATGACCACAGAATTTAAGGTAGTTGTGTAACCTATTTAAGGAATTCCACTGGGCTACATGAGCGTTCTTCTTTTCTGCACCAACATGCCGAATGGAGACTGAAATACATCATGTGAATTCCAGTTGTCAAGAGTTCTTTTAGGTGCACGCTAAGGTATACATGGGTTTTCGTAACATCCGGACAACTAGAAACTGATCCTTGCCAGACACCATTTCTTTTACTCAGTTCACGCGATGTTACGCATATTTGAAGACCAATATAATAGTTACTATGATATCACCAGAAGTGTGTCATGAGCGACTGTATTACTCAGTTCACGCGATGTTACGCATATTTGAAGACC